CACAGAGTAGGTTCGAACAATTTTTGAAACCCACCACTGGAGATTCATCACCATCTTTGAATGAGACCAATAACTGTTGTATCATTTCCAAATTTCAGAAGTTTAACAGACGCTCCTTAGGGATGTAGTCATTTGTATAAAACGGGGATGTGGAACTGGTGGCACATGGGCTGGATGTGTCATGTGCAGACCACACCCACCCCAGCTCCGCAAAAATATTGTGAAACATCATGTGAATTTCAGAAGTTTAACAGACGCTCCTTAGGGATGTAGTCATTTGTATAAAGCGGGGATGTGGAACTGGTGGCACATGGGCTGGATGTGTCATGTGCAGACCACACCCACCCCAGCTCCACAAAAACATTGTGAAACATCACGTGAAGGCAACATGACGGCGTAAGTTTGACACCTGTGGTATAGAGAGAGAAGAGTAATGGAGACATCACATAGCCTTGATGAGCTCCTATGCTAATTGTTTGGGTTTTCTCTAGCTTCACCTGTTTCTTCTTACCTGTCAGAAAGTTTATAATCCACCTACAAGAATGGACAAGCAAAGCTAGCTAAGTCAGGTTAAAGTGAAGGTCATTGAAGGCCAAGCTGAAGTCTGCAAAAAGGATCAGTGCTTAAGTCCCTGGGAATTCAAGATGTTGCAAGGTGTCGCACATATTGACAGCCTTATCTGTTGCGCCATTTGCGCAATAGGCAAACTGAAAGAAGTCTAACAGTGGATCCATGATGAATTCCAGTTGAGTGAGCAGTAATGTTTCCAAGGTCTTCATAACTGCAAATGTCAGAGCACCCAAACTATAGTCATTCAGTTCCTTGATGAAGGGTTTCTTGGGAACCGGGAGGATGGTAGAACAAGAAGGAATATAACATCTCCAGTGATTTATTAAAGATGCGGGTGAAGATGGAGGCCATTTGGTCACCACAGGCTTCCATGCAAGAAGGAGTTTCTGGACCTGGTGGGTTCTGAGCTAGGCTTCCTGATACATTAAAAAGTACACACTTAGTCCCCAAACACCTATTTTTATTTCACCGGCTGTGAATTATGTTCATTCACAGCCCTTAATGAGTCACAAATAGTTTGTAAAGAGTCCGACAGAAGTCTGCCAAAGTCTTTCGGGATAAGGCTGATAAGCACCCACCTTTACCTCCCTTGAAACGCTGCCAGACCTATTTGGCAGTTAGCTTGCAAGGCCACACAGAGCAAAGAGTCAAAAAGGAGCTTCAGAATTTAAATCAAACAGAACGAAGTTGCTTCCTGCAAAGGTTCATGTGCCTTTGCTCCTTCTTTATGTCCTATGGGAGAGGCCAATCATCTCCAAGCTTTACTCCCAAGCTTTACTTTTGTCTTAACTGTTCTTGCCTTCTGGCAGCTCTGCACATTCGTGCACTGGGAACAGGCTCTCCCTGTTCCTCTGCCTTGCTGATGTCCAACTCTGGAGGCTCCGGTAGGCAGCACATAACTCCCAAATGGCCTTGGCTTCCTCTCTGCCTCCGACGCAGAGCCCTCATCCGAGCCTTCCCCTGACTTCTGAATTGGCCCATGTTCCTCCCCAAACTCTTTACTGTCCAACTCTGCTGCCAGCTTCACAAGCCGCTGCCGGACCACAACATTACAACCATCCTGAAAAATCATGCTAGGGCTAATTTTCCAGTTGGGTCTTATTTTCAGGAAAACATGGTTGTGTGTGTCTGTGTCTGTGTCTGTGCCTGTGCGTGTGTGTAAAACTTGCCATGAAGTACAGGTAGAACATTTAAAGCTGAATTTTACTAATGTGTTTCGAAAAACCTTGTTTTATAGTTATCTGACTGTTGCCACTGTAATTTTAGAATTTTATCTGTGAATTGACTTGAAACAGAAGAAGTCAGGAGATGCTAACTTTGAGAAGCAAAATCAGCCAATTTAATTTTGGTACTTGACCAAATACAACCCCATGCAAACTTGATCATGTATAAACTACTCTCATAATGTAATCTCATTGTAACATTAAGCAATAATAGTATAATAAGCCAGAAAAAAAACTGTGAAAATGATAGGCACTAATGAGTTGCTACATATATAAGATGTCACAGAGATTAAGAAGCTTAAATTAAAAACCAACAAGTAAAGCTGTAGACTCTATATGGTTTGCTCCCTCTTTAAAAGTTCAGTAAACACAATAACAATGAAATTATGTACACTACTTTGCTATCAGTCATCAGAGGACAAAAAGGTTCATTTAGACTTTGTCTCCTGTCAAATTTTATAAACAGTCAAACCTTTGGTCACATTAACCAGGTTCTGACCTGACCAAAGTCTTTAGCATTTCTGCACTGAAACTACAATAAAAAAACCCTAATGTGTTTTACAAACCTTAATCCACAAGACAGGTATGTCCTGTAAGAAATATGATCAGATTGTAAAGAATGCCAATCAAGTTGCCAAGAAAGCAGCTTAAATGTTACTTTATACATGCTGTCCTGTTTCTTGGGAAGGGAAGTGAAAGGTGTTATCTCCAGGTTTCTCTTTAAGAGGAAAAGTCAGTCTTTGTCATACTGTCCCAACTTGAACATTCAGGAAAGAAAGACCCTCGACTCCAGCTAGTGAAGCCAGATCTGAGGATTTCCCGCAAAACCTCGGTCCTTTTCTTTTCTCCCAGGCTCTCCCCCCCCCCCCGGTCAACTTGGTGGTGTCCCATAAGGTTCAAATTATTGTTCTGGTAACAGTTCCACGTTTTGGCATCTCTTTGGATGGGCCTTTCTCATTCTATTCCCAGGCTTGTGACCTTGAGTCTTTCAACTGTTGTCTCTGGATGGCACCTCTGTTTCCTGTCATCTCCTCTCCCTATCTTCCCATTCCCCTTCCCCACATTTTATGGAAGGCTGCCATCACAGCGAAGCAGGGTTGAAGCGGTGACAGATGGCAAATCTGACCAGTCTTGATCTGAATTACAGTATTTGAAAGCCTATATTTCTTCTTAGCCTTTGCCAATCTGCTGGCTTATTCTCATTCCAGCTTGCTCACAATTCAAGGAGAGGAAGAATTCAGAAGTAGGCCATTGGGAAGATTTGTAAATGCCTGAAGATATGATCTGATTTTTTGGATCCAGTAAAGATGGCTCAACCCTTCCGACTTGTCTAATTTGTCGAGACAACTCATATCTGTGAAGGGTGTGTCTTCACGAGTGTTTCTCAATCAATATTGAGGTCAGGAAAATAGAATGACTATCCTAAACTGGATTGTTCAGGTAGTACCCTTGTGTCCTGCTAGTTGGTCTTCATGGGTGGGTTGCTGGTTAACTGGTCAATGGCAAGACTCTTATTGCCCCCATCTCTGTCCTGAGAGAAGGGGCTTGACTATAACTCCACTCCAGAAAGTCACTATGAAGCCCGTGGGTTAGGTTATGGCAGTTTAAGCAAGTTGGAATACACACAGTGTTTCTCATCCTTGGAGACCTTATGATGTGTGGACTTCAACTACCAGAATTCCCCAGCGAGCTACTCTGGTTGGGAATTCTGGGAGTTGAAGTCACCATGTTATAAAGTTGGCAAGGTTGAGAAACACTGGAACAGAGCTTAGATCAAGGATCATAGACCTGGGTTGCAGCATCAAATCTCTACTCTTTTCCTAAGAAATTTAACGAATTTACTAAAACCAGCAGGATACTTAGCTCACCTTAGCATTTCTGAATATTTTTAAATGGTTTGCCCTCAAAAGCTGACGGAAGTTGTCTTGTGAGGTAGGAAATTGCTCCAAAAGATGGAGTAGTGGCATTTTGTCTTTTAATCCAGAGATAAATTTATACAGTCCAATCCAGATTTCTCTAGTCAGCCTCATGTCCAACATCTTTATTCTGATGTGAATCCCAATTGTAACTGCGTATGTAGCCACATTGATTGTAACGGAATATGCCAGTAAACAGAACTGTTACTAAATAGGTTTTTTTTCTGAAACACTTGGTTATATTGCTTAGAAGTTGTGTTTCTCATTGGAGGAGTGATGCTTATTTTTAATTCTGCTTTAATTGCTTTGGTTGTAATATAAATTAGCTGATTGGTTGTTTTGGGAATAAACTGGAATGAACTCTGGGCAAGGGACAAGTGTCTCAACATTAATTGGCAGGAAAATTGCATTACACACTTGGCCAATAAAGAATTCTATTCTATTCTGTTCCATTGTGATTCAATCTTGCAGTGCACTCAGATTATATCTGACCTACATCTTGGAAGCAGCTTTCTCAGAATCATTTCTTCATTTCATCATGTTTAGCCCTGCCTTTTTTTCCCCCCCCGTGATGTTACTTCACATTCCCAGCCTAGCCTCCAAATGTGGGATTACCTAGTGGTCTCCCCTCCAACTACTAAGCAGCTCTATAGTTACTACTATATGACTTGTTCCCCTTCCTTATTATCAATTTCTAATATTTCCAATAGTGCTTGTTACTATTATGATTCACTGCACTTTATGATAGGAGTGGGGGGCTTTTGAGCCATTCCTGGTGATTGCCTGGGCCAGCCCCTGTAGGTATTTTTTTTGGCAAGGTTTTTCAGAAATGTTTGCCATTGCCACCTTCCTTAGGCTAAGCGAGAGGGACTGGCCCAAGGTGTCGCAGCTAGCTTCATTATTTATTTATCTGTCTGTCTATCTGTCTGTCTGTCTGTCTGTCTNCGGGCGCCTCCTTTCCCTTCCCCGCCCGCCGCGCAGCCCCGCCTCCTACCTGACTTGGGGTAGGTAACGATCCAGACGTCGCTGTCTCGCACGGGGAAATTGGCGATCTCCTCCATCTTCCCGCGGCAGAAGGGCGGCAGGCGCACCCCGTTGTACTCGAAGTATTTGCTCTCGAACTCCCCGGGAGTGCTGGGGGTCTCGCACTCGCTCTCCGCCATCCTCCGCCGCCGAGCCCGACCGGGAGCCGCCGGCTGCTTGCAAGGGGCGCAGGGAAGCTGCCTTTCCCGGCGCCAAGGAGGAGCCCGCTTTCCCGCTCACTCGTCCGTCGGTCAGCCCGCCAAGCCGGGTTGCTAGCTCCGGTCAGCGGCAAGCTTTGCGCTCCGCGGGCCAAGCAGGAACCGGCCTTCAGCGAATGGGCTCCGGGGGCGATGATGTAATGCGGCGAGGAGGAGGGATGAGGCCGCCGCCGCCGCCGCCGCGGCACAGCGGAGCCGAAGCCCGCCCGGCTTAACCCTCGGCGTGCCTGGCGTCTCTCGCCGCCTTAGCTGCTCTCTTGCCTGGCGCCAGGCTCGCTCGGGGTCCGGAAGCGAAGTGGGCTGGGCGGCCTTCCTTTGGGAGACGTTCAGTGAACAGTAACAGAGTTGGAAGGGACCTTGGAGGTCATCTAGCCCAACCCCCCTGCTCACGAAGGAAACCTATACTAGGGATTCCAACTGCCGACCCTTTGTGATCGACAAGCAGGGCGCCTTAGCCACTGAGATTACTAGCTCAGGGGCAGCCCCGCCGAGAACCCGTGTTGCACGTAAGCCGGGTTCACACGACTCTCATCAGAAGCTTCCCTCGGACCGAATCTAAACGCCACTTCCCGCGAACTGGGAAGAGCGTGCTCTTATGAACGCTTCCAGGTGGCAGCAAAATCGGGATCATCTGTCACTGAATCCATCTCCCCTCCCCAGCAAAAAGGCTCTCTGACCAACCTATCTTTGTGTTGCAGTCCATTCTCACAATACTTGTCCAGTCCCGACAGTCGGGTGTGTTGTAAAACAAACCAAATGAGTTGNTTTCTCATTTCTAGATTGAATCCAGGGGTGAAATCAACTTACATTCACTACCAGTTCGAGTGCGCAATATTGCCCCACGCAATATGAATGTGACTTTACTGTAGAATGAGTGAACTGCAGAAAGTTTTCTCCTTTCTAAAAGGAGAAAACACCAAGGGCTTCAAATCCTTTGAATTGTGCATAGGGCACACTTATTTTTCTGCTGATATTTCACGAGCTCATCTTTCTCTGTTCTTGTTTACCGTATTTTCCTTTCTTAAACCTTTCTTTCTCATCTTCCCCACGTGAGAAAAAAAAAGTTTGGTAAACAGGAATCAGATCCTTGAGACCAGCCCAAAATAGAAGATTAGTTAAGTCAATGAAGTTCATTAATTAATAGGAAGGCAATGCCGAATGGAGAACTATGAAGGCTAAACATGAATGCCAGTCATCACTTTATATTGTTATGTATGTTTTTTTCCCCTTGTTTGCGTTTTTCTTTCTGTTTTTAAAGGTTAAAATGTTCAATAAAAATTATTTTAAAAAGAAGCTCATTAACCTGGATGTCTTGGAAATCTGTCTGTGGTATCAAAATGTAGTCCTTTTTCTTGGACGGTAAATAAACCACTTGCCTGACATGGCCTGGGCACCATCTGTATAAAATTTCTGTCAGGTTTATTTTGTAGCATTCTCATTTATTCAGTCTGTCAGGTTTATGTAGTGTATTTTGGAGGTGGCCACCCTTTGAGAGCTATAAGCAACGGCATTTAATTTCGATGTTATGCCGATTGGCGTGCATTCCAAGGGACACAATCAAGTTGTTCTAAGCCTTCATGGCCAAAGGCGGGACTCGAACTCGGGGTCTCTCGGGGGCCTTCGCACTTCCATTGCTCTAGCAGTCTAGGCCAAAAAAAAAAGAGGGAACTGCGAGGACCACCCGGCACCTTTCCAACCCCCCCCTCCCACCCCCCGCGTCGTCTGTTTTGCATCGCTCCGCCGATTGGTCGGCGGTCCCGGCGCCACATCCAGGGGCGGGGCGAATCGGAGGCGGGTGTCCGGCTGCTTCAATAGCGGCTTCATTAGCGGCCGGTGTGGCGGCCGTGCCGGGTGTAATTTAGGTTGTCGTCGCCGCCGCTGTCTTTTTTTTCTTTTTGTCAGCCGCGATGGTGGAACTGCTGGAAGGCGCGGACGGCTGGAGCGTGTCGTTCGCGGGCTGCGGCTTCCTGGGCGTCTATCACATCGGTGCGGCTACCTGCCTTCAGGAACGCGCACCTCGCCTCCTGCGCGACGCCCGCTGCATTTACGGCGCCTCGGCGGGGGCGCTTGCCGGCGCAGTCCTCATCGGAGGCGGCTCTCTGGGTGGGTCTGACCTACGCGCCTAGTCGGGGAGAGTCGTGGGAACGCGCCCGACTGGGGGATCCGGGTCGTAAAGGCTCCTGTGGAGGCTGGCGTGCCCTCGCCTTGGGTAAAATTGGTTAATTTGTGTGTATGTGTGTGTGTTGTGGGGGGGAAAACTTTGGCTAAACCAAGTGTCCCCAAACTTGGCAACTTTAAGACTTGGGGACTTCAACTCCCAGAATTCTCCAGCCAGCTGGCTGGAGAATTCTGGGAGTTGAAGTCCCCCAAGTCTTAAAGTTGCCAAGTTTGAAGATCTCTGGGCTAAGCGAACAAAGTCCAGACTTGGGTGGATTCGTGGGAATGGAGAAAAAAATAAAGTGGTTTATTTTTTGGGGGGGGGGAAGGGCTGCTGCCAGGTAGTCCTAATTTGTGGTTTGCTGTTTCGTCCTTGCATAGAGACCGACATTGGGGGGCTCCCTCTGATGCTGTAGCAACAGCCCCAAGTGGTGGGGTTGACCAGAGATGAAAGCATGATTCGCCCCACTCTTGTAAGAGATGTAATTACAAGACATTCCCTTACCTGGGTGGGTTAGTGAGTTAATTATGTTAGTGGCCTGATCTGATTAATTAAGCCCGACTGCATTTCTCTCACGTGGGTTGCTTTGGGGAAAGGCCGTGTGTGGTGTTGAGGGTCAGAAATAATGCAATATGGAGATGATGATGATGATGATGATATTATTTGTGATGCATTTTTGTATGTCCAGTTGACTGAGTTTCGTGTTTAATGAATAAAGTAAATAATAATACCCACTGATATCCATTGTCATCGGGGCACTTGGTACCATGTCTAAGAATTTTACAAAACAAATCAGGAAATTGAATCTTCCTGCAATAACACCAGCGGAACTGCAAAAAACTGTGCTTCTTGGAACATCGTATACTTTAAGAAGAGAACTTGGTTGATACCTAAGCTTCCTAGCACCAGTCAATGGTACTTGTGATGCGTTTTTGAATGTTCACTTGACTGAGTTTCATGTTTAATGAATAAAAGAAAGAATGATGATGATGATGATGATGATGATGATGATGATGATGATGATGATGCAGTGTGAATACCTTTGCCCCCAGACCCTCTCAACACTTGTTCACACGTTGTGGTTAAAACAGCTTTTATCCCAGGGCAGTAACTATATTGAATTCTACGGTATAGTGCAATTTTAATGCAATATCCGGTTCTCAATTTCAGTTACCGGGTATATAGCATGTGATAGGATGTATGTTTGTGTTTTTATTTTTATAGTTATAATGTACACTGAAGATGGCCTTTAATTTCGTTGCACGATGTGCAATGACAATAAAGCAAACTAAACTAAAAATGCATGGTGGTGAATCCAGCACCGGATGTCAGAATGCCATGGTAAATCGTGTTTTTATAGGACACTCAGCCTTTTTGTATTCATTTCTGCACCGTCCCAAAAGAGCTTGGAGGGAATCCAGTCAGGAAAAACTCTTGTTAACTTTTAGAACTTAATTAACCTTGTCAAATTTTCCCCAGTTGAAAATGCAGAGATGGAGACCTATTCGCTAACCCAGAAAGGGTGGCTCATTGAGGGGAAAAAAAATCTAAACGTTTTTGCTATTTTTACCCTTTCACTTATATTTCCTCCCATTGTATCGAACTACAAAGGACAAACTCCATCGGGAGGAAAGCTGACAGTCTTCAAAATATATTTATGGAGGCATAGGTCATATCTTCATGTATTACAATATTAATTTATACTCATTGTGAAGAAAGTTTCACACCATTTACCCTTGATTTAATAAATTTCAATTTAATGGACTTTGGATTCAGCAGACAATTTTTTGGATCCTGGTTTTGTCAGAATTTGGGGTGGTAAGACATTATATTTCAAACGTTGCTGTGTTTGATTTCAAATTTGTAGTCCTATTGTAATGTGCAAGATAGGAATGGGACTTTAAAAAGTGGAATCGTTTGAAACATTGGAGCGCATGGAAAGGAGAGAAGGTGCCATAGAAATTAAAAATGAGAAATGCTAGATGGCTTAAATCAGATGTGTAAAGTCTTAACATTATTAGGTTCCTTATATAAATCAGGTAGTTATATGCGGTATAACTACAGTGTATATTTATATGTGACCCAACACAATTCCTCTTCAATCAGTGTAGCCCAGGCAAGCCAGAAGGTTAGACACAGATGTCATAAATCATGTTAAGCTCAGAATATCCATCTTAAGTTCATAAATGGCTATTTTGAATTTTCTGAAAGGGTCCCACACTTGAAGCAGCCAACATGAAGTTGTCAGCCTTTTTAGTCATGCCCAACCCTCAGCCACTCTATGGATCAGTGATCCATGCTCTCCTGTCTCCCACCATCTCCTTCAGATCTGCCAGGCTTGTCCCGGAGTCATCTTTTGGAGTGTCTTGTCAGAAGTTACTTTGTCCGCTGATCACTCCCAGCCTGATTGAATTTTCGAGTGAGTCAGCTGTCATGACATGACCAAAGTGTGACAGTCTCTGTTTGGCGATCTTGGCTTTAGGTGATATTTTTGGTGAGGCATGGGCTAGGGTTTCTTTGTCATTTTTGCAATCCATGGGATGCATAATAGTGGCCTCCAGCACCATAATTCCAAGACGTCCACCCCTGTCTGCCTTTTTTCAGAATTCTGGTTTCACAGCCATGAGTAGCCATTGGAAAAATGATTGCGTTAAATAATGTGCATTTGGTTGTGTGGTTGAAGTCTTGAATCTTCCTGGTGTTATCCATACGAGACATTACAGGTCTTGCAAGTGCTATACACCTTCAGAACTCAGGGCTGCAGTCCAGTGGTGGGATTCAATTTTTTACTACAGGTTCTGTGGGCGTGGCTTGGTGGGCGTGGCAGGGGAAGGATACTGCAAAATCTCCATTCCGTCCCCACTCCAAGGGAAGGATACTGTAAAATCTCTGTTCCCTCCTCACTCCAGGGGAAGGATACTGTAAAATCTCTGTTCCCACCCCACTCCAGGGGAAG